TCCCCTCAAGAATGTGTGTTTCCTTTAGGGCAGGGCAGACCCAATGCCACCTAGAATGAGGGCATTCTAGGATGCTCCCGCCTACACATGCACACAAGGTGATCACACACCTCTGTGACCCCTTTGGTTTTCATTATTTTACCCTGTTCCCAAGCCCGCTCTTTGCCTTTCGTGCTGTGGGGGATCTTGGCCGCAGTCAGCTAACAGCTAGATGAACGCCCTGGATTAGTTTCCTCTAAAATAGCTGACAGGATGAAAAGGAAGCGGAAGTTGGTTTCCTTGATCAAGGCTGAGGAGTTAGGTAGAGAAGCCTGCGTGCCGAGGGCCATTACCCCGCGAAGGAAAGGGACACAGGAAGGGCACGTTCGTGGACAAGAGACGGAGCTGATCCCAGTGTCTTACATTTGTAGAAATCAAATAGAACATTTGCTGGAGAGATCCAATGTTTTCTATAAAGAACTAACCCTTTCGATGGGACGTACATAGTACGTTTGTGATAACGTTTTCCTTCCGGAAAGTTTGGATGGTAAGTTTGGACACACGAGGCACGGCTAACCACAGTGTGTTGGTCAAGCTGCGTGGGGCAGGGCACGGGGACTCTAAGGTGCCACATATCAGTCAGTGGATTCAATCTGTGATGCCAAGTAAGAGCCACCTCCAAATATTCGCCACACCTGCATGGAATTAATTTCAGTTTCCTATGTGTGACGGGAGAGAAAGCGTGAGCTTAATGTCTATCATATGTCTCGGAAAAGCTCCAGACACACACCAGCCTGGAGTGAGAAATGTGGATTTTTCAGTTCCTAATGTTTAAAGGGTAACATTTCCTTAGTTTCACAAAAACAGAATGGCCTTTTTGGAGGGCCTGTCTTAAAGGAAATCTTGAGGGAGTGACTTCTGTAGGCATTCGCTGCTGTCAGGAAAAAGGGATTCCAGCAAGTAGAAATATCTTGCCTCAGATCCCATGGTCTGTTAAAGACAGTCCCGGTTTGACATGGTGGACTGATAAGTTGCTTGAAGATACATAAAAAGGCTTTGTATAAGGGACTCCGTGGGGAAGAGGCTTACGGGCTCGGCAGAAATCTGAAATCTGCACACAAAATATTGAGGTGTGGCACGTTTTCTGAAGGTTCAAAGCTCTCATCAGATCTCGAATAAGTCCATCGCCCAAAAGGTTTAGGACATGCCCACTGCCTTCCACCCACGTAAATCCACGTCAGGTTAGAAAAACAGATGTAAAAGGGCTCTCAACAGCCATCGAAACAAACAGAAGAAACGGGAGGTAGATCTTGAGTGGTATTGAAACGGAAGGGGACTTTGTAAGCACAAAGAAATGGGAGAATTCACAAATACTGAATACATTTAATGTTCAAAGCTGGAAGTCCTTTTACAACCCAAAATATCATAAATAAAATTCAAAGATGAATTAGGGAAATGTTTATAATAAATTACCGGAAAAGGATGAATAGTCCTCATTAAGAAAATAAACTCTTACAAATCAGGAAGAAAAACTCTCAAGTAGAAAAACATAGGCAAGGGGTAGGAACAGACAGTTCACAGAACAAATATAGGTGATAAATAGCAGCTGCATGTTGGAGCCGCGGGTACTAGCCCATGTCAGCCAATCCCTGCTCCTCCTTTAGTGACATCACATTGATTGCTTGAAATTGGCCATGGTGGGATTTTTCATTATGGCAGAGAAATCGCCGAAAAATCAAGGCTTTTCATGTTTTATTTGTTGACAGCAATGTAATGGCACACCGTTGGTTAAGAGATGTATAAAAATCAGTTCAAGTGTAGCAGTAATCAGAGAAATAGAAAAAGAAATGAGGTCTGGACAAGATGGAATAGGCACACTACAACCTACACCTCCTGCGAATTACCTCCTGCACCTCCTGCGAATTACCTCCTGTACCTCCTGTGAATTACAACAAGAAAGTTTCGAGAAAATCCACAGAGCAACTTACAGAGACTCTGAAAGCTGGAAAAAAGTAAGCGGACTGCCTATAGACCTTAGAACCCACAGAACTACCCAACAGTGAGTTCTTGTTTTTGGTTTTGCCTTTTTTATATCCTGGCCTGGGCTCTGGAGAGGCTCCCAATCTGGAAATGCCAATGGCACCAGACCAAAAAGAGGCTCGAGGAAAGCCTGCTGTCTCTAGCCCAAAGAGGTGGGAACAGGGTGACCCAGTAAGAGTGAAACGTTTTGACCACACCTGACCTTACTCTCACTCCAGGTGGGCACGCAAAAGCCATCCCCTCTGCCCCCCAGCTGGGCGCCACATCTTGGAGATGGTAGAGCCCTGCCTTCCAATCCTGCTTACGATACGTGGCCACCTCTCTTCCCTGGAACAGAGACTGTGGGAGGAACTTTTCGGTGGATGTCTCATCGCCACAGAGGCCAGAAGGAGGTGGAACAGTGTTTTTTAATTGTGGAGAGAATAGTCAACCCAGAATTCTATATCCAGTGAAAATATCCTTCAGGATTAAAGGCGAGATAGACATCGGATGAATGAAAAGCAAAAGAACTTGTCGGCAGCAGACCTGCTTTAACAGAATAGCTAAAGAGAAGTTTTTCAGACAGAGAGGAAATGATAGTAGAAAGAAATGCAGAATATCAGGAATGAAGGAAGAAGAGAAAGGGTGGATATATAAGTAGATGTAGGAGACCACTCTTAAGTTTCCAAACTTCTGCTTGATGGTCGAAAGCAAAATTACAGTATCTGAAGTGGTTCTCAATGTACAACACGCGAGACATCGATGTGATAAAGGGAGGAAGGAGGCTAAAGACACCTTGAAGGAGGTAACGTTTTTCCACTCCACTTGAAGTGATAATGTACTAACACTAGTAGACTATGTTAAATTATGCACATGTGGTGTAACCTTTAGAGCAGCAGTTTTTCAGTGAGATGACTTTGTTCCCTTGGGGACGTCTGGCAATATTTGGAGATATGGTTACACATGCTACTGCCATCTAGTCGATGGAAACCAAGATGCAGCTAAACATTCTACAACACACAGGACAGTCCCATTCAACAAAGAGGTATCCAACCCCAGATGCCAGCAATGCCGAGGCTGAGAATCCTGCTTTCCGGCAAGCGTAGACAAAACTATACGAAGACAAATCTCAAAGAAAACTAGAGATAAATCAGCACAGGATACTAAAAAATGTTCAACTAATCTATCGGAGTTCAGGGAAGTGGAGCACAATAAACAAAAATCAGAGGGAACAATATGAAAGTGGTAGACAAATTCTAACATCAATGATTGCATTAAAGGTAAATGATCTAAACATCTGTGAAAAGGCAGTGACTGATGGAACGGATGACCCAACCACATGCGGTCTCTGAGAAACTCATTTCCAATAAGATGACACAGGTACATTAAGAGTAGAAAGGTAGGAAAAGATAGACCTTGCAAACACGAATCAAAAGAAAACTGAAGTGGATATATTAGTATGAGATAAAGGAGATTTTGGAACAAAGGTAATTACCAGAACTAAAGAGGGACATGACATAATGATAAAAGGGTCCATTCACCAAGAAAACACGACAATTCTAACTGTGCCTACCACAAACACCAGAAGTTCAAAATACATGAAGGAAAAACTGATAGCCTGAGAAGAGACACGTTTATAGTTGAAAATGTTAATATCCCCTTTCAGTAAGTGATGGAACCACTAGACAGAAAAAAAAGAGATTTTTTTTTTTTATATCAAATTGGCAAAGCTTTGAAATGGTAATACTTAGAACTAGCAAAGTCGTGGTCTCTGTAATAATGTGGAAACATAAATATACAGAGTAGTCCTGAAAAAATATTTAGTTTCTGTATTAAGAGGCTTAAAAGGGTTATAGCATTTTTCCACCCAACATTTTGACTTTTAGGAATCTCTCCTAAAGGAATAATTACAGTTTCCCAGATTTATCTGTCTAGACCTTCACAACAGAGCGATTTATCACAGCAGAACTTAGAGATATCTGAAATTGCCCACTAATCGGCAAGTGCTTAAAAAAAAAGTATTCTTTATACATGTAGAGTGCTATGGTTCAAATAACATTTCTAAGAATTTTTAATGCCATGGCAAATAGGAATGATTTTAAGGCAAAAAAGTAGTATATAAAGCACTGTGCACAGAGCACAATGTAAATTATGTCAAAATACACATCATAGTTCAGTACAGAAATCATAGCAGTATGACGATAGCAAAAACTTGCCAGGGATTATTTCTCTGTGTTTTTCATTTGCTTGTTTTTACTACCTGTTCCCCCTCGAGTTTTCTATTGTTAAATGATGTCTTATTCATGGTTATAACAAACAGAAACTGTTACTTCTGAAACAGCATAAAAATGAGTTGATATATAGAGGGTCTAATACCATGCTGCATCTGGTACAGAGAAACTCAGTGGGTGAATTCTTGCAAATAGTTTTGAAAATGAAACATGGGGGGGCACCTGGGTGGCTCCGTTGGTTAAATGACTGACTCTTGATTTCGACTTAGATTATGATCTCATGGTTCGTGAGATCGAGCCCCGTGCTGTCCATGCGGAGCCTGCTTGTGATTCTCTCTCCCCCTCTCTCTGTCCCTTCCCTGCTCACAATCTCCCACTCCTCTCTCTCTAAATGAATAAATAAACTTAAAAAAAAAAAAAGAAAATGAAAAAGGGTAAGAAGGGATGCCCATTAATATTCCTAAAGTGATCATCTTCATTTCATTGTCCAGGCCTATTAGCAGTGGCCCCGCCATTCTCAAAAGCGTCACGGTGTAGGTGGTAAGTTGCACGGGGACCCTTACCGTTCTGAACAGAAAAATATTCTAAGGAAACGAGTACGTGTTGCATCAGGACTATACATCAAGCACTAAATGCTTTATCTCTCAACCATCTGAGGAGCTGAATTATCTCTGATTCATAACGGCCCCGGCAAGTTAAGCAACTAGACGTGCGCAAGTGGCAGGGTCTGGATTTGAATGGCATCCATCACAGCAGCGGCGGAAGGCATACCTGGGCCTGCCGAAGAGCAGGGTTGGCCGGCAGGGGTCTGGCGGGGACGAGGGGTGCACGGGGAGCCTTCTGGAGAGGCGGGAGCACTCGCTGAGGCGAACTGGGCGGAGGGGCGTCGAGGGCTCTGAGGGGTCCGCTGATGTCAAGATTCTGACACTGTGGCCACCTCCTGGCGTTGTCCTGCAGGGACGGAGCAAAAGCCATGGTGTCACGGGTCTCGCCTCCTTAGGAGACGGGGGCTGACTGGTCCGCTATAGCTGAAGGGGCCGGCGGTGCCGCTGCACGAGAGGGAGTCTATCATCATTTGTTTAAACTTCACACTTGTAGCAGAAGCACCCCTCCTCCCCAGCGTGGACTAGCAGGATCGATTTCTACGTGAACTGTAAAAACTGGTTTCATTCGTTAACAGGCGCAAGGCAACTAAGGAAGCGCTAATGAGTTTGAGGACACACACCAGATCTCTTGGAAGTGATGAAGGAGTTGTTCAGCGAGGCGTAAGGATGCCTTCAAAGCTCAGGGAGAACCGAGGAAGCCCCCGGCAAGGAGGATGGAAGCGTGTGGAAGCTGAGGCGAGGGGCCCACACCTGGAGCATCATGTCGTACACGGTGCCCCTGCTTTCAGGGCAGACCCGAGCAGATGCAGTGTGGGCCGTGTGCCTCAGGCCCCGCCTCCTTTCTTCCTTTCTCTCGTTTTGAAAAACGGCTTTTTTAAGGATCCATGGACATATGGCTAACGGCACATACTGAAACCGGACAACGTGGAAAACTGTGACACGTGTCCACACCGATGAAACCATCACGATGTGCAAAACAGTGAGCGTAAAGCCGTCCCCCATCCCCCGCTGCCCCCCCTTGCAACTACTGATATGCTTTCTGTCCTCATAAAATAGTTTGCATTTTCTAGAATGTCTCACAAATGGAGTTAGGGGGTAGGTACTCTGTCAGGCTTCTTTTACTTGGCATAATTATCTTGAGATTCATGTTGTGTATATTAATAGTCTGCTTTTTCTTACTGCTGAATAGCATTCCATTGTGTAAATATACCAAAGTTTGTTTATCCTTTTACCTGTTGATGGAAATTTGGGTCGTTTCCTATTTTTGGCTCCTCAAAATTAAGCCGCTTTTTTGGCTCTCTCGGGTAAAGCTAGCTTTTCTTGCTCAAGTCCCAATTTGGGGCTCAGAGGTGGTAAAGCCTGTTAGGAATGACAGCTTCCTCTTTGGAACCCAATCCTCCACACTTGTAGATCAGGTAAGACATGGGAGATAAGACAGTTTATTTATGGCTTACTGAATGCGTGACGTTAATTAAGAATAATTTTTTTTAACGTTTATTTTTGGCAGAGAGAGAGAGAGACAGACAGACAGAGCATGAGCAGGGGAGGGGCAGAGAGAGAGGGAGACACAGAATCCGCAGCAGGCTCCAGGCTCCGAGGCAACAGCACAGAGCCCAACGCGGGGCTCGAACTCACAGACTGCGAGATCGTGACCTGAGCCAAAGTTGGATGCTCAACCGAGCCACCCGGGTGCCCCACCGTGATGTTAATTTTTAAAATCATTTGTCATCAGAAATACTTGATGGGAAAACTAAATATTGGAATGAAGTCTGGTGGTAATTCATGAGGGAGCCGGCGGGTACTCTGGGTTAAGGAGCCGGTTCTTTGAAACCAGAGGGTCGACAGGGTGTCCACAGCCCAGAGCTGGAGCAAATGGGATCCGTCCACAGGCTCAGCATAACTCCTAGAAATGCACTGGGAGGTACAGGGCCAAAGAAGTTCACCCAAACCTCCCCAGCGGCATCTGAAACCGGAGGAAGAGGAGGACCCAGGAAGAGGAAGACTGGGAACCTCCTTGGGAGGCAGAGCCGGTGGGCTCGTCTGGGTGATTGGACAGATCATGGCTCACAATGTGGCACACACATCACACAGGGGACCCTGCCCCTAAAGGATCTAGTGGGGGATCTAGTGGGGGATCTAGTGGGGGATCTAGTGGGGCATCCATGGGGCACAGCGGACCTCCTTCCGGCCCTTGACCATCACCTCACCAAGCTTTTGTGGAACTCAGTGTGTGCATGCTGCATTTCAGGGAACTGTTCCCGCTGCCGATCTATCTATAGATTCTCTGGAATTGATTCCCGCTCAAGCTCTTGTTGAAAAACACTGAGATACAGGTCTCTCACTGTGCACACCGACCTCTCATGTCTGTTTACAACTTACCTTCGACATGTTGGAATGTGGTGGCTTCCTCATCAGGCCTTTGCTGAGGTGGCTGAGGTGAGCCTGGCCAGGGTTCGAGCCACGCGACGGCCGAGAAGGGCGCACACACCTGTGAGCAGTCCCGTTAAGCGTAAACCAGAGCTTTTCTCCCTGGGTTGACTTAACTATTTTTCTATTTGGTTCCCAGTCTCAAAAAACAACTTACTTACTTTAACTCAGTGTGGAAAACACGCAAAGGACAAATTATCTAAACATTCTCGCAGGATTAAGAAATAAATATCGATCCCCGCCCCCCACCCGCCCCCTGTCCCCCAAAGCCACTATTCTGTTAAATTAGTTCTTGCAATTCGCACATACATGGCTTTGTGACACCTGGGAGACATTTTATAGAAAGCTGGCATTTCAGCAATAATGCCTTTGAATATATTTGGGTCAAAAGCTACCCCGGCTGATGAAAATATTTTAACATCCCATGTCTTGTAAACATTACTGAGGTAAGGGTGGGAAACAATACAGTGGGACTCATTAACACCTTGCTTATTTATATAAAAAGCAGCAAATCGTTGAAGGCAAAGGAAGGGAGGCAGCTGGTCTGGCAGAGATTTAAAAAAAAACCCCAAACAACAGTTTCACTATCTGAACATCTGACCTCTTCTTTGCTAAGGAAAACAGAGTGCAAAGAAGGTTGGTTGCATGTTCTTTCAAATGCCATTTCTGGAAAACAGGACCCATCGCCAAGATACCTTAGCTTTTCGATGGTGGTTTTTTTATCTGTAAACAGCAGGCGTATTAGCGTCTTCCTTTTCAGATAAACTACAAATCCAGCAGCGAGAAGACACAGGATCGTCACCAGGACTCCTATGGTCAAACCTTGGTTGTCTGAAACAAAACGCATTGATTGCACTCAGGGAAAGAGGCAGGGAGAATGATACATGGGAAGTGTCAGATTGTGACATTTATGGCAACGCGAGCTTTGAAGGAAGGCACAGCATTGGAGTGAGTCCCTGAATGATGTGCTGATAAATTAGTCTTACTTCAAAGGTCACGCCTGAGGTTCTGTCCGTGTCGCCCTCGTTCATTTCTGACAACAGGAGCCTAGCCTGGCAGGTGGGACCGCAGCCCTGATCACACAGCCCCGCCCACCCCCAGCAGGGATGGGGGCCCCAGAGGGGTGGCAGGGAGCCCGCACGTCCCCAACCGTGACCTTCCCAGCCCCCATCACAAATGTGCCCCTCCGGGCTCTCTTCTTCTCTCATTCCTTAGCGCTGAAGTCTGTGTTTTTGTTTTGTTTCCTTGTATTTATTTTTTAGACCAAGACTTTATTTCAGGACATTGTCAAGCTAGAAGGTGAAGACAAGGGGCGCCTGGGTGGCTCAGTCAGCGAAGCGTCCGACTTCGGCTCGGGTCGCGATCTCACAGTTTATGAGTTTGAGCCCCGCGTCGGGCTCTGTGCTGACAACGCAGAGCCCGCTTGGATCCTCTGTCCCTCTCTCTCGCTGTCTCTCTCTCTCTCTCACAACTAAGTGACTAAATAAATAAGAAACAACAAACCTCACCCAAACTCCTCGCTGAAAGGAAACGCCCACAGGTTTGGTTTTGTTAGATTTTTGTTTGTTATGTTCGTTAGAGCCTCGAAATACAGTGTTTGGAGGCAACCCTCTCTCTCTCTCCGGAAGTGGCTGTTTATTTTCTCTAAGGAAACATCCCCCTTCCTGCGATTGGCTCCCATTTTGTTCAGTACAAAGACACCGAGGTCCCTGGAGGGTGCAGGAGAGAAGGAAAAACCAGACTTTGAGGCTGGTTTCTGAGCGCGGCCGTGTTGGGGGCTGCCCGGAGAGGGCTCTGCCTGCCAGTGTGGAGAGCAGTCGGGACCTGCGACAGTCGCTTGCCGCTCCCACTGCTCTGTGGCTTCCTTGAGAGCCGCAGATGTGGGTTCGTTCGTCCCTGTGTCCCCACCAGCGACAGTCAGGATGTGCTTCCCACAGCAGGCCACAGTCGCCTGAGGCTGCTGGTGATGGCTGCACCGGTGACGTCCCTTGCCCAGGCCCTCCCCTGCCGCCCCCACCCCCTCCCCCCCGCCCGGGTCCCCTCATCCGGTGCAAGCACTGTGTCCTCGCGGTCGCCCCCCGCATCTCCCTGCGTCGGCCCTGAGTCCCACGGTCCCCCTGCCCATTGCGGCGCTCGCCAGGCCACGCTGGACCCCGGAAGAGCGGCAGGTGCACGGCAGGTGTCCCGGAAGCACTTGCCACGTGAACACCGGGCCACGGCAGGCTGGCGGGCCGTGGGGGCAGGGGGGCCTGGGACATGGTGCCCCGCACCTGCCTCTGGGCTGGGTGTTTAGATGTCCTTTCATGAAGGGACGGCGGCAGTGGGCGGACTCACCGCCCCACCCGTGCCGATGGATCGTTGAGGTTTGCTTACTTGCAAACGGGGAACAGCGGACGGCCGTGAACCCCCAGCTTTTGTGAAGCCCCCAGACCCGAGACCCACGGGTCGTGCGTGTTGACACTGCAGACAGACCCAGAGCGTTCTGGCCCGTCCTCTGCAACCCCCTCCAGGTGCCATCTGCTGGCCTGCCGCGCGGGGGGTGGGGGGGCAGTGCCCCGTCGGATGAGAAGACTGGCACCCTGCTGGTTTTGCACGACACACGTCAACGCCACGTTAGAACATGGACGCGGGGCAGCCGGAACGCCGCGGTCAGGGCGGAGAGGTTCGGCGAGGGCCGGGGACGCGGGGCCGGGCCCCGGTTTCCTGCCCCTGGGAGGGATGCTGACTGGAGGCCAAGACTTTCCGGGCCTTTCTGTAGCTGCTGCAGGGCCGGAGACACACCCGTATTTAAGCCGAAGGAGGACAGGAACTCACGGCCCCTCCTCGCAACACCGTCCCCACAGATGTACCCACCGGCAGCTCCCGGGCCGAGCGAGCCGATGGCGAGCACCGCACTGGCTGCCCGGGCTGCAGCGCACGGTCCTGTCTGTCGTCCGGGGGACTACGGTGACGCCACTGCCGGTCACAGCAAGACTTGAGGACACGTGACGTCTGCTGTCGCCGCATCGGCCACCATCTGGGGGGGCCTGGGGCTCAGGCGAGTCAGCACAAGTGGGCTCGGGGGGTGCGGGCCCTGTGGACCCCCGGTTCCTTTCTCGTCACAAAGGACACTGTTCAGACTTGCCTCTTCACTGCCTGACAAGTGCTCAGACAAAACAGCAATGCCCCGAAGGCCATTTCCCAAGGTCATCCGGGGAGAAAAGAACTGGGGCGTCGAGCACGGCTGCGATGAACTTTTTAAGGGGGAGACGGGCGTGGTCTCCGTGATAGCTGTGTGACGCTGGGTAAGTGACTGCGGGTGAGTGACTCCCCTGAGCCTCAAGTCCTTTATGTGAACTCTGCCCTCGGGGTCAGGCAGGGATTCGAGGAGATCATGCATGTAAAACGCCCAGCTCCCGGGCTTGCCCCTGACAACTCAATAAATAGAAGCGGTTGCTTTTACTACTGCTGCTGCGGGGAGCGGGGACCGGGGACCGTTAGCCTTCACTGAGAGGAGGCGTCTCTCTAGGAAGGGCTTTAAGGGACAGTCGCCTCCACACCGCCTGGCCCCTTCACACCTCTCTTGGGAGGGAGAGGCTGGCCTTGACCAAGCCCTTCCGTCTCAGTCGGGAGGATCCCCGCCTGGCTTTCCACTGCCCCCCTCTCCACTGGCTCAGCGCCCACTCCCAGGGACGCCCTGGCCCCACTCACCTGCCTGCCGGATGGGGCCGCTGTCTGTGCTTCCCCCAAAGCCAAACTTGTCGCAGAAGGGAGGCGCCCAGTGGGCCTCGCAGTGGCAGTTCTTCCTGTTGTTACACACCTGTCCGGGCAGCAGGGGAGAAGGACAGCAAGAGGGAAACAGCATTAGGACCCACCCGGCACACGGGGCGGCGGTCAGTCTCTGAGCCCTGATCGGCTGCTGCACCGAAGCAAAGGCCCTGTGGTCAGAGTCCCCATCAGCCCCGATACAGCCAGGGGCAGAAATGTCGCTGCGAGCCTAAACCCCAAACGCAGCACAGGTGAGACCAGAGTCCGAGGCTGCAGATAAAACATGACCTGCCTGGTAGGGGGAGGATGGAGGTTATTGGGGTTCATCTGCTACGTCCACCCCTTTCCTTCTCAGTCAATTGCCGTGTCCCTCTTTTGCAGTGCAGCACTCGCCCCTCCTCCCCATCTGACCATGATGAGGAGCCCCCTCTGTGGTGAGGAGTGACCCTGCTGCAGGGGTGCGGAACCTGAGCTGTTGGGCACAGCCCCGCTTCCTTCGGACAGCAGGCTCAGAGAGGCTGGTGACCTGCTCGGACATCTCGTGCCCGAAACGCCCACCTCCCTCTCGCAGGCTCCCAGCGGCCCCTCCTTGGCGCCCGGCCGTGAATGAGCACTGGGCACGGTCTACCAAAAGCTGGTGTCCTCGTGACATGAGAGGGTGGCCCTTGCCCATCGGGAAAGGGGTGCCCGAGAAAGCGGGAGGGCGGGCGTTGCTCTGGGTGGGGGGCCCCTGAACGAGTAGCCTAGCTTGGAGACCAGAGCACTCCAGGGAGGAGCCAGCTCCGGCTCTCCTGGTTAGCAAGGGTGACCGATGGAGGCTGGTCCCCAACCCGCCCTGGCTGTTCGACTTGCTGCTATCACACATGGAACTCACCGAGCCACTGCATGAACCCGCGGAATAGGAGCATGAACCCAAGAGGATACTATTTCTAGAGACTTGGAGTGCATGCTTTGGGAACACGGGATACAGGCAAGTGGCTACAAAGAATTTCTGACCAGTTTGGAACAGGTGGGACAATTGCGGCGCAGGCCGGAAGGGTTCTAAGCTCAGATGGCTGCTGAGGGTCCGAGTTTCTCTTCCGCTTAGGGAAACAGACTTTACGTCGTAGATGATGCGCTTTGGGTGGTTTATAGAAGGAGGTCAGTGCGGAGCTACTGGGGTGCACACGCCCCGAAGGCCTCAGTCCTGCATCAAAACACTGCTGGAGGGGCCAAGTGCATATTTTAATATTTTAAGGCAAAAATAAAATGCTTGCAGTGTATGTCTTATTTGTAATGTTCCCCTGCTTTGCACTGATTTTTTTTTTTTTTTTGGTGATGAATCAACCACCTGCCCCAATTGCTTAAAATAAGACCGATAGTCAAGATAACCCTCGAGAAGCTGAAGCCACGCAGAATTAACTACTGAGGGGCACGGCCTGTGCCGAATCCGAGCACAGATTACCGAGTGTCGCCTGTTCCTCGGCGATGCCGCTGTTGACGTAACACCCACCAGGATTCAGGCACCGTCCTGGCCACACCGTTTCGCACGGTCTCCCAATGCAAACCAGAGTCGTGTGACCTGTTTGCAGCTTGTGGTAGAGAGACTGAAACCGGGACACCCCACTGGGAGGCGCTGCTGGTGAGCCTGGCCTCACTAGGGGAAGGACCATAGTCAAGTTATTCGTCACCAAGTCATGGCTGCTACTCCGCCTACCCAGAAAATATGGGCCTTTCCTCTCCAGATGGATGGGCCCCCAGGGCTGTTGCGAAGCGAGGAGTCCAGGGACCCCGCCCTGGCGTTACTACGAACCGGTCATGTAAGCTTGGACATGCACTCTTGCCACCTGGGTCTGGGCGTCTTCATCAGTAAGATAACAAGGCTGTACCAGATCATCTCTCACAGCCATTAGAAAGAAATCTCTGATCCCACGAAGACATAAAAGGACTTCCTTTTACACTGACAGTCAGCAAACCCATCTGAGATGGCATCACGATCCTTTCCGGTTCCAACGCAATAGTAATTTCATGAAAACCCCCATAATTCTGTGTTAGGATCACTGGTGAGTGTGTGCAAGTTTTAAAAATAGAATTGGGAGCATGATTTCTGCAGAAAAGGTTTCAGAAAAACAAATGAACCACTGGCGTGGCTAATCAAGATTAATAGGGTTCCCTGGGAAATAATTAAGCCCATCAGGAAAAATAAATTATGTTTGAAACAATTAGCGTCCTCTTCTCTCCTAAAAAACTCTCTGAGCTGAACTAACAGCCTTCTTGAGTTGAAATGCACACTGTACGTGATTTCAAGAACATGTGGTCAGTATGTTCTGTCTTCTTGGTTTTAATTCCTTCTGGAAGTATTTCAGTTCAGACACATATTCTGAATCGTGGTTGAAAGGAGGACAGCTCTGCTTGAAACGTTAAAGCAAAATCCTTCATGAAGGAAGGTTAGTTTTAAAACCACTTTGAAGATGACAAAGTCCTTTTTAAAAAAAAAAAATCACAGGATGTTCATTTAAAAGATCATTACTGCTCAGTCTGATTCTCTTTGTTAAATAAAAGTCACATTTCTTATGCTATGTAAAGGGCAAAGAAAATTAGTATCTTTAGAAGACAAGATTGAGGTGACTGCTGTATTTCTTAGAAGTTAAAACAATAGGGATTGCAGAGTCCTTTAAAATGAATGGTTGAGTGCTTAATGTGGACTGGCTATAAAAAGGCAGTTCAGCCCACTCACCCCTCTGCTGTGGCACTGCTTGGCACATTCATGAACGCCGAAGACACTTATGTTTTGACATCGACGATTGAGGCAGATCTGCAGGAGGAGAAAAACACGGTAAATTTCTCAGCCCTTTTCCGATCACATGCACAGGCACGTATCTGTGATTTAAAAAGAGAAGGCAAGGAAAGTTCGCGGAAGACCCTCTCCTTTCGGTGCACACGGCTGTAGCACAAGGACGGGCTTTCCATTTGACTCTGACCTGGAGTCTGATGCCTGCCTCCAAACTCAGCACGTTTCAAGACTCAGGTCAACGTGACTCAGGGTCAGCGTGGCACTTTTATACGGTTTCAGTCAATTATGAGATTACGATAACTGATTTTCTCAGGGTTTTTGTTTAGGGCTTGCAGTGAGACGTGTGAATTACAGCGTCCGTCGCCTCCCCTCCCCCTCAATGGCCCCTTCCGTTGAAAGATACAGGACGGGAGAAATGGCACCAGCCCTTAACCTAGGGCCTGTGCAGACTCAGAGACTCCAAGAAATCCAAGGTCCAAGGACCTTTTGAAGGCGATATCGAAACATGGGAACTTTTCCAAATTACTGACTGACAAGTACTATCATCGATGACATAAACCATCAACAGAAATGCTCAGCAGAGGAAAACAGGCAGTTCCCTTGTGTTTATTAAACTTTGCATAGGCAGTAATTTGCTGAATGACACTGGGTTGGTTGCAAGAGTTTAGTCTCATTTTAAAGGTGCATAATATACACCAGACTCAAAGGAGCAGGCCCTTTATCTCCCATAAGATGTTACAAATTGGTGGAGTCAGAGGAAGAGAAGTCTAAGTTTTAGATTCCAGAAGCATATTTAATCAAGCACAGCCTTCCTATGGGAAGTTCACCATCTGACCCCAACAGCTTGTGGAAGGCACTCAAGCGACACCCTCTGACAAAAGTGTCGGCTTTAAGCAGCTCCAAAGGCTGGTGGGAAACCTGGCCAAGGGGACGGTCACATTCCAGCCGAGACAAGAAATCGTCTGAGGTTACAAAGGACACAGCAGGACCCTGGTCAAAATCTCCTCCCAACCCATGAGCAAAGGCAAGCGTGGCTTTCAAAGAACCCGTGTTCTGCAGAAATAAAGAGCAAAACACATTTACTTTGTACATGGAGAAAAACACTCATTGATGAATTGAGTCCTTGGAATTTCAGGGTTCAGATGCACCTGGCTCGGGCTGTTCAGGCTATAGTTTCAAAAATCAACTTGATCCTATCCAGGGTCAAGGCCAGAATATAAGCTAACGTGTGTGGTTAAGGAGACCCTGGAATGTACGTTGTGTTTCCTGGATCATCCCATTTCCTTAGAGATGAAGCACTTATGGGTCAGAGTAGATGGCGGAAAGGGGGTGAGTATACAGAATTCTTGCCCTAGGGACTCTGCTCAAGGGGCTGAATCCATATCTTTCTATTCTACTATGTGGCCTCTGTGTGAGTTCATTTCATCATCATTTTGAAGATGGGATCCTTTTTTTTTTTCATATTTTTGTTATTTTCATTTTTATTTATTTAAAAAAAATTTTTTTAAATATGAAATTTATTGTCAAATTGGTTTCCATACAACACCCAGCGCTCATCCCAACAGGTGCCCTCCTCAATGCCCATCACCTGCCCTCCCCTCCCTCTCACCCCCCATCAACCCT